ACACAGCTCACTCTGCAGTGGTAAGAGCACTGCAAACTGGACTACACCAGTTAAGGGACAGTAATATCCATACTCATGTGTCCAGGGTGACATACTGCACATATAAAGGATTCTTCTCTGCTTTATTTATTTATTTATTTTCCTAAATCGTGTTTTTTTTATTGTGCACTGCAGGAAATATCAGTCAAACTGTGGGGTGCAAATGTAAGAATTTTTACCTAGTTGCTTCTGATTATTAATTCAAACAAAACGACAACCCGGAAGTGATTTCTTCCTCCTTTTTTTCAACTTTTACCAAGGTTGGCAACCAGACTATGAATTTACACACCTCTGTAAAGCTGTATTTTGGTTGTTGTAACAGTTCTTTTTGCTGTGGAGCTAAAATCCAGTGAGCATTTGCATTTACTGTATTCAGTAGACATGTATAGATATTGTTGTGATTTTCTCACTAACGTGTCTCTACAGGCTGGAGGAGAATTACATAGTGTGTGAAGGAGTGTGTCTGCCTCGATGTATCCTCTACGCTCACTACCTGGACTTCTGCAGGAAGGAGAAACTAGAGCCGGCCTGTGCTGCTACATTTGGAAAGGTCTGTGAGTGTTTGAACAGAGCACATTATGACATCTTTATTATCCAACATGTCTTGTAGACAATCAGAAACAGAGATCTACAGTATCTGACCATTTTTTTATGTTCTATTAGGATGTATATTAGTTTTAGGTAACAAGGGGAAACTCATAGATTGAATCAGTTTAGTGTTAATAAAATGTGACAATCTGTGGACATCATGATCCTTAACAGTTATTTCAGTTTTCCTTGCACACTGATTTCAGTTTGATTTTGTCTCCTCGTTATAAGTACGAGAATTTATTATAGGTAGTCTCGAAAATGTTCCTAGAAGTCTATACTTAAAAACAGTAATTCATGTTTGATGAACAGTATTACATACTATGTAATTACATACTGTTCATCAAACATGAATTACTGTCCACACACTGTAGAATCCTAATACTGATCCAGTGACAATAATCTGATGACTGATTGATCTAATCAGTATTATTTTACCTCCTGTTCTCCTCAGACAATTCGACAGAAGTTTCCTCTTCTAACAACAAGAAGACTTGGCACCAGAGGGCACTCCAAGTAAATGAAAAACATCACTTCTGTCTTTTAGTTTCATATTTTCATGTAACCTAAAACTCCAAAATGTTGTTTAAAATGTTTTGGTAATCTTTGCAATTATGATTATTATGTGCTATTACTTTTTTGGCATTACACAGATATCATTACTATGGAATTGGCATCAAAGAGAGCAGCGCTTACTATCACTCTGTGTACTCTGGAAAAGGGTTGACCAGGTAACAAAACTGTAACATGATCATTATAGGATTTCTTAGTGTTTCTGTGTTTAGCGTTAGTGCACAGTGGCTCTATCTTTTTATGTTAAGTCTCAGTCTTTGCAGATGACACCTCCATTTTTACCAGCCACAACAATGTCACAACTGCTGTTACTCTTTCCCCCTAATAAGTCCATGTATATGTGTGTGTCATCATGTCATCTCTAGTTTGCAAACTCATGTTAAATAATAAGTTAATCTGTTCAGTCCATCTGGAATAATCTGGAAATGTATCACTCAAATTACACAAAAACACATCAACATTCATTAATGTGAGAAGTATAGACTTAAATGACAATTTGTCTCTCTTTGATTGTAGATTTTCAGGGAGCAAGCTCAAGAATGAGGTAAGTGAAAATGGAAACTTTTACTTAAAGATATACTATGCAGGGCTATGACTGAAACCAATGCATAGATTCATACGGAGGTAATCCCTCTCAGCCATCACCTACAGTATGACCTCCTAGAAGTGTGTGGCGGTGTATTTTCCTGCAAAGACTCCACTTTTCTGCCTGTATTTTCTTTTTTTCCCCTCTTATTTTCTGTGTTTGGGACATTTATGGGCGTGCAGCCCCGCAGTGCTCAGGTGATGTTGGGGCTCTATAAGAGGGCAGTGACCAGGTGCCAGTGGCACTTTCACTTTTGCTGCTGAGTGTGTTTACAAACAGTAACCAGCAATCCTGTATAGCATACCTTTAAAGAGTATTTAACACCAAGCTGGAAAGTAGAGTTTTGTTGCCCACTCTGGTTGAAAGTTTGTCACGGGATTCCTGTGTTCATGAGAGTTCAACTTTTCCCTAAATTAAAAAAATTCATGGAGTACATTTCTACACAACTGCGCAAAGGTACAAAAGTAAACAACAGGAGGTCGGCAACAACAGGACTTTCAGAATGTGTTAAGTTGACCTTGACCTTGACCTTTGACCCTTGACCACCAAAATCAGTTCATCCTTACGATACAACATAATATGATAATTCGATATACTTTATTGTCCCCATAGGGAAATTTGTCTTGGACTCAGAAGCTGCCCAAGTATTGTTGCCTTACAATAACAGTCCAGAAGAAATGAAAAGCATACACCATAGAAAAAAAAAAAAAAAAAAAAATACATATTACACATCAGCCAGTCATGTACTGCACATAACACCAGCACACAACACTAGGGGTGTAACGGTACACAAAAATCACAGTTCGGTACGTACCTCGGTACACAAGTCACGGTTTGTTTTTTTTCGGTACAGTAATGAAAAAAATAGACAACTATTAAATATCTTTTACTTATTGGTAACCTTATTAAAACATACCACCACAGCAGTTAACTCTTTTTACACAATTTTTGAATGAAACAAATATATATAAAATTCTGCTTTTTCACATTGTTTGAACGAAAATAGAAATATAAAAGTGAAAAATAAAATCCTGCTGTTTTTTTAACACATTTTTGAATGAAAAATATAAATATAAATTTCTGCTTTAACAGTTTTACTCAATTAAAATAAAAAAGTATAGTGCAGCTGGTCAGCTTTAAAGCCTGCTCAGATTCAGTTTTACTAGGAACTTACTTAGCTTTCCCACTTTGTTAAAGTGCAGTAAACAAAACATGCTTATATCTAAAGTGCAGCTTAAACAATTTTACTCAACTCCAATGGCGTTGGTTATTTCTTTAGCGCGATGGTCAGGGAAACGCTCTTTCTTTTTAAACAACGACGATATCGTAGTTTGCACCAGATTGCTTTTTCTAGTCGCGCCGGTTAACGTTCAAACTCGGGTGGTGTCGCTTTAGATGCGTTAGCATGTTAGACGTGTTTCCAAGTACATACCCGACGGCTGTTCTGCAGTGTCGGCACACTGCTTTTGTCTTGTCCACTTGTTTATTTCCATCTTCGTATTTTACCCTGAAACCAAAGTGTTCCCAAACGACTTAAGGTTTGCGGGTGGGTCTTCAGGTTCGTCAGGCTCACTTGCCATGTTGTCAAAATGCGAGAATACGCTGCACAAAGTGAAAGCGAAGATTTACGGTCGGACTCGGTCCGTCACTCAATTATGTCCGTCGGGGAACTAGATATTTTAAATGGTTCGGCTCGCAAAAACGGAATTAAAATAAAACAAAAGAAAATAATATCCTGCGCCCAGTGATTCGGTACAGGGTCGTGCCAAACCAAAAGTCACGTACCGAACAGTTCGACACAAATACATGTACCGTTACGGCCCTACACAACACACAACATGACCTTGCCCTTTGACCACCAAAAACCAATCAGTTCATCGTTGAGTTCAAGTTGACATTTCTGCCAAATCTGAAGGAATTTCCTTGAGGTATTGCGTTTAGAAGGATATGATGAACGTATGGACGTACAACCCGAAGACAGTATGCCTCCAGCCACAGCCATCACCTGCGCAGAGGCATAATAAAATCAGTGTCAAGATCAACTCAAGGAAAAAGGGCCTGACATTATTATATTTTGTCAGGGAGGCTTCACCAGGAAATACTCTCTGAGCTCCAAAACTGGAACGTTGCTCCCAGACTTCCCCAATGCTCAGCATCTTCTGCTGCAGGGAAATATCGCCAGAGAAAAGGTCAGTGGTAAATAAATCCCACTTTAATTTCAATATACAGTATATTCTGTATTTACTGTAAACAAACAAGATGCCTGGTGATCTCTCTGACTGGTTTTAATGGAGTGTGTCCATGAATTAATTTAATGTCAGATCTTCATTGTCTCTTTGCAGGTGGACACTCTGATCATGATGTATAAAACTCACTGCCAGTGCATCCTGGACAACGCCATTAATGTCAACTTTGAGGAGGTGATAATTACGTCAACATGGGAGCATTTGATTTAAGAGTAAAACCAGCAAAACTGTTTACCATCTGCTCAAACTACATATAACTCTTCAAATGTTTTGTTTCAGATCCAGAATTTTCTGCTACACTTCTGGCAGGGAATGCCTGACCACCTGCTGCCGCTGCTGGAAAACCCCGTTATAGTCGACATCTTCTGCGTCTGTGACTCCATCCTCTATAAGGTTGTTATGAAATGCTAATATTGTTTTGGGATTTCAGACATTGATATAACAAGTTTTAATGGCAGGTTCAAAATGTTTAATAAACCCATTTTGTTTTGTTTTACTGATGTGTCTTACGTTCTCAGGTTTTAACAGATGTTCTGATTCCTGCTACAATGCAGGAGATGCCTGAAAGGTTTGTTACTTCAACTTCACTTCATGTGTTATTGTCAAAGTAGTCGCTGGTGCTACAAAGTTAGAAGCCTATTTGCCATAAAACACTTCCATATCCCAGAATAACATGAACGTGATTGAAGGAACTTTCCTGATTGGCAAAAAGCTTCAGCCAAATTTGGGATGCCTGGATCTTAATGTTGAATTCTGGCCATCATTCCCTTCAGTTATGATAAAAAATTACCTTCTTTCTGTACTGTCGAGACAAGGATGCAGCTTTTAGTCCAGTCTGACCCAAAATACATGATTGCAGCTACAATGATATAAAAAAAAAGACGAAAACAGCAGATCTTTACACTGAATGACTGATTTATTAACTTACTGGGAATTCAGAGGAGATCTGTATAAATGGTGTTCAACAGTCTGTTGGCAGATATCCGCAACTTCGCCAAACACTGGGAGCACTGGCTAGCCTCCTCCCTTGAGAACCTCCCAGAATGCCTTGCAGCCAAGAAACTCCCCATAGCACGTCACTTTGTTTCCTCCCTGAAGAGACAGACGTCGTTTTTACACCTGGCACAGGTACGACACTCACTGAAGAGCAGAATAGATTACAGTATACATTAATGTCTCAAAATAAACATGATAATGATCTCTGAGGTCTTTATTTCAGATAGCCCGTCCGGCGCTGTTCGACCAGGCTGTAGTGACCAGCATGGTGTCAGATATCGACAATGTGGATCTCAGCAGCATCAGCTCACAGCCTCTGCTCAGCGTAAACACTGCTGGAGACCAGGACCCAGACATCTACTCTGAGTGTAAGACACCTACTGACCAGCAGTGGTGGAAGAAGTACTCACGTCTTTGACTTAAAGGGTAACTTTGGTATCTGGCATTTTTCTGGTCCCAGTTTTCCCACATGTTTGTGTCTGAGTGACAAATGGGAACAACAACTTTTGAAACTGCTCCAGTATGGAGCGAGGGCAGCGAGGGTACACCCTGGACAGGTCACCAGACTATCGCAGGGCTGACACATAGAGACAGACAACCATTCACACTCACATTCTCACACTCACACTCACATTCACACCTACGGACAATTTAGAGTCACCAATTAACCTGCATGTCTTTGGACTGTAGGAGGAAGCCGGAGTGCCCGGAGAGAACCCACACTGACACGGGGAGAACATGCAGACTCCGCACAGAAGGGCTCCCACACCCGGGACCGAACCGGGAACCCTCTTGCTATGAAGCAACAGTGCTAACCACCACACCACCGTGCCGCCCTGCAATGTAATCACTTGGGGCAATAGCACCCTCAATGTAGGTCCGTTAAAAGTGCTTGTTTTTGCCATTGATAGGCTCAGATTGTTATTGTAAGTGTCTAACAACATCATGGAAAGGATCCTTTCAGAGACAGACCTTTGTGTTAAAGAGTAAGATCCTTTTTGTTTAAACAGAAACAGCCCCAAAATTGCCATTGCCAAACTCACCAGACTCCATTTAAATAAACTGTAACTTTAGTGTGCATAGAGGCAGCATATTTACACATCTAACTGGGTGAATAAGGTTTTACGTCAACCAAAACAGAGTTGGTGATTGTTGGAACAGTGGAAAGACAAACCAAGATGGCTTTTGTGAGTTTTATTTTGTTTTTCTGGACTTTAAATGAAGTGTGTTTTACAATAATAAAATTACTGATTATTCAAATGGAGTCTGGTGGGTTTGGCAATGGCTAGACTTTCTGGTTAAACAAAAGGATCTCACTTTTTCACAAAAAAGGTTCATCTCTGTAGGGATCCTCTCCATTAAATTGTCAGACACTTAGAATAACAATCTGAGCCTGTCAGTAAAAAAAACAAACACTTTTGGTAGATGTAAACTGACAATGCACAATTGCCCCAAGTGATTACATTGCAGCCTATTTCACTGCTGCCAGCCGAGAAATACCTGCTCAGTACTGGACCAATTTCAATAACTGTTGTTGTCATTAGTCACTTGGACACAAAAACGTGAGAAAATGGGGTCCAGGTTGAAAAATACTGAAATTTCCCTTTAAGTGAAAGGAGCAGAAATACAGTGTAAAAATACTCTGCTACAAGTAAAAATTATACAGTTCAAATCTAAAAGTGCAAAAGTATCAGCATCAAATTATAATAAAAGCACCAAAAGTAAAAGTACTCAGTAAGAAGAATGGCCCAGTTTTATATAACGGGATTATAATTATTAATGCATTAATGTGTCCAACACTTTAATGTTGCAGCTGGCGGAGGTGGAGCTAATTTTAACTACTTTTAATACCTCTGGTAGAATTTATTTGTTGATTTATATTTTTTATAAATAATTTGTGAATGAATGAATCTGCAAAGTAATAATGTTGTTATATATATGTAGTAAAATTTTAAAAATGAAACATTGGCCTCCAAACCGTAGTCAAGTTGATGTTTATAATAGCATGAAATAAAAATACTCAAGTGAAATACCTCCAAAATGTGCCAGCTAGTGCATATTTTCTTAAATCAACTGGATGAAAATGGAATCTCTACGTATCTACATCATCATAACTGAGATAGATGTTTTTTTTTTCTTTTACATTTTTAATTATTATCAGATGATTCTCATCAGCAAATCCATAGACTAATGTAATTCTGAAAGGATGCATTCGTAGAGCTTTTTTACAACCAGCAGTTGTTTTCTATCGGTCTAATATAGGAATGAGAATCTGTTTTATTAATAATGACGCAGCTTGTTTCCTCTGTCTCTTTCCTTCCAGATGACTCCATCACCGTCTTTCAGGAGCTGAAGGAGCTGCTGAGAAAGAACGCAACAGTGGAGTCCTTCATCGAGTGGCTGGACTCAGTCGTGGAGCATAAAGTCATCAAGGTAACAGCTGTTCCACCTGGTACTGTGTGGACTCGTACAGTATTTGTCCTGCAAAATGTCCTGTTGTGATACTAAACAGTTTGTCCTTTCTGTCTCTTTTGTCTCTGACCAGCCAGGGAAGCAGAGCGGTCGATCAGTAAAGAAGCGAGCTCAGGATTTCCTCCTCAGGTGGAGTTTCTTTGGTGCCAGAGTGATGCACAACCTCACGCTCAACAATGCCTCCAGCTTTGGTAAGGAGGTTGCCCAGTGTTGGAAAGTAACAAAGTACATTTTCTTAAGTACTTTACTTGAGTACAAGACTAAAATACTTGTACTTTACTTGAGTATTTACATTTAATGCTACTTTTGTACTCTACACTACATTTCAGAGAGAAATATTGTACTTATTTATTTATTTTACAGTTGAAGTTACTAGTGACGTTGTAGATTCAGATTATTAGTACAAAATATAATTTTAAAACAATTATTATGACATATTTCATAGTTTAAGCCGCCCAACACTGTTTAAAATGATCCTTACACATTAAAGCATCAATAATTATAATCCAACAATATTATTCTGAAATGGGCCATTCTGCATTACGAATACTTTTACTGTTTGTACTGTATGAATATTTTGATGCAAGTACTTGAGTAGTTTTACTTACGATTATGAATGCATGACTTTCACATGTAGTGTTTTTACATTGTAGTGTTCCTACTTGTACTTAAGTAAAGAGTAAAGGAGTATTTTTTCCACTACTGTCCCTAAACAAACTATATGCTTTGTTAATTTTCTAAAGTGAAAAATGCAGTTTGCTGCACAATAAAATGAAATAAAATAAAATGAATCAAATTAAACTGAATGAAATAAAATAACATTAAATTAAATTAAATTAAATTAAATTTAACTGAATACAATTGAATTAAATAATACATTTGATATTGCTAAAGGTTTTAATGCAAAAGCTCTTTAGTCTTGCTTAATTTGTCTTGGGGTGACCAGACTTTTACATGCTTCTGCAAACAGTATGTTAAATTGTAACACCAATAAATGTTTACCTCATTTAATATCAGAATTAAATCTAACTTTTGTAAACTAGCATGGCCATCAATGAGTACACTGGTGGTATCAAACATTTCTTTTGTATTTCATCTTGTTTGCCATCAGGTCAGGTTTCTTCACAGCACAAAAACAAAACAAACAAAAAAAACAAAGTGTTTTTTTCTTTCAGAGCAAACAGAACTAAAACTGATAAATCACGATATGAGTATATAATGTATACCTTTCAACTCAAAGATACCAGAAGGGAAATATGGTCTAACTGGTGCAAACAAACCTGTTAATCAGGTAACATCAAAACACAATTTATGAAAGCGACAAACTGAACATAATGACAACTGTTTGTGAAATTAAAAACTGTCACTGAGCTGATTAATTTTGTCTTCCTTTCTTCGCCATCATTCAGTCCACACACACACACACACACACACACACACACACACACACACACACACACACACACACACACAAGGCTAATACAAGCCAGCTTGCAGCAGATTGCTACAATAGTGCCATAAATTGTAATGGCCAGACTCTGATTAAACAAAGTCTTATCTGCGGGTCGCGTGCTCTCTGTTCAAACACACGCACACACACACATAGAACATGTACGTGAATAAACACTAACCATTTGGTCTGAAGACTCCCGGTGAAGCTCAAACACACACAGAAGGTTTTAAAGCTGTGACCCCACAGGTCAAACAAAGAACAGCTTGATCCTAAAGGTCACACGGTAAATAAAGAAGAAGACACAGTGAGGTCGTCAAATCTCTCTGGAAGTTTGATATGTAGGTAAACACAAAGTCTCACCTCAGTCACGATGACCTCTTTTCTCTTTGCATTTTGGACACTGGCAGGTTCCTTCCATCTGATCAGGATGCTGTTGGACGAATACATCCTGTTGGCTCTGGAGACTCAGTTCAACAACGACAAGGAGCAGGACCTGCAGAACCTGCTGGACAAATACATGAAAAATGCAGGTATCAAGCATCAACACAGACACTGCACAGCTGATCCATTTCAACATATACCATAAGACATGTTGGACTCCTCAGAGGAAATACATCACCAAAGCCATTCCTAGCCCTAGCCCCATCCCAGCTCTTTTTGCCAGCCTGAACTAATTGAAACTTTTTTACACATGGTCTGAGAACGTAAAAAAGTGTTTGAATTTTAGGTTAAAATGATAACAGTGATATCTGACATGATTGGACATCAAATCCCTATAGACCCAATTGTTCTATTTAATTACTGAACTTGTTCACAAAACAGAGGAAAATTTGGCTAGCTGGCTCAACCGCATCAAAGAAAATGATTGCCCTACACTTGCTCCCTCCTCACTCACTCAGCATTTATCACTGGTTGGCTTATGTTAGTGATATAGTGATGCTTGAACTATCCACAGCAAGGACCAACAAAGCAAAGTCCTCAACTCTCAGCCTTTGGAAAGACGTAGCATTGCAGATTTTCAACATAATGATCTCAGTGCCTCAAGAACCGGTGCTCCAGTAGTAAAGTGTGATTAATTAATTATTTTTTTAGTTCTATCATCTTTACATTACATCCCCGCACACAACCGAACAGGTTCTACAGTGTCACTAAATCATCATCACTGACATCAACATCAACCGCTCAACCGGTACCTGCTTCAGTAAGTTTCACCAGATGTTGTTATTAATGATGTGACGTTAACTTTCAGATGCAAGTAAAGCAGCGTTCATGGCCTCTCCCAGTTCCTGCTTCCTAGCTAATCGCAACAAGACCAACGCTGCAATCGACCAATCAGTGAAGAATGAGTCTCTGGGCGAACACGCCTACATGTCTCTGCCCACCAATCAGCAGCAAAGTCTGGAAACAAGCACCAACATCTATCAGGGGACAGAGTCTGCTGGGTTCACAGTTTCAGGTAAAACAAAAAAACAATGCAACATTTTTTGTCTTCTGTACAGCCCTAAGACATAAAGAAGATGATATTAAATCTAAACTGTGCTACTTTCCACAATATTAGATCTATTGATATCTATCAAAATGGGTGTTTGATGAATGACATTATCCTGATCAACTTTTTGGTTATGGTCGTATGTCATATTGATTGTCTGTACTGTAATTTTATCATGGTGGCCTATTCTATTGCACGTCTGTCCATCTTCAGTTGCTCTTTCAGAGGTTTCTTCCATTTTGTTCCCTGTTAAAGGGTTTTTTGTTGTTGCTGTTGTTGGCAGGGAGTTTGTCCATATCTGCCGTAAGGGTCCAAAGACAGAGGGTCTCATATGTAGAAAAGCCCTTTAAGGCAAACTGTGGTTTGTGATACTGGGCTATATAAAAAAAAGACTGAATCGAATTGAATTGAAGGCTGAGAAATTATTTGGTCATGTTAAAAAGAACTTTTGTGCGAGGCAGCTTAAGTCCAGTAAGGTGATGTTTCTTATCTTGTTAGGTAAGAGTGAGTGAAATCACCTTTTGGGACTTTAGGTGCTCCATACCTTTGTGATCACAATGAAAACAAAGCAACGTTGACTGAACCGTTCACAATCTCCTTAAACGTTGTGCAACCTATGCTAGAGAGACCACAGTCATTATATATAAGCTGATGCAAGGGCATTAGCTAATGGGGATACTAATAGGATTAAAAAAAACTAAACTAAATAGAGCTGCAGAGAGTAATAGTATAAGTGCAGCTTTAAGGAGCTGTGTATGACACTTAGAGCAGAGTCTGATTTAGGCTGCCTGCACACAGTTCTCATCATGGAGGAGGCTAAGCAGCAAACAGTGCTAACAATGCCAGCACTGCCGACAAATCTAGGTGTTAACCAAGGGGGGAACTGGAGAATGGGTGTTACGTTTCCACGACAATGCTGTTCAGTCACCGTGCATCGTGAAAGTGTTATCAGCTGTAACTTGATGTATGAGCGCAGTACAGAGTGGCAGCAATTAGCTAGACTGATAAGCACGGATTACATCACACACAGAGGGTGTTAACACCACCTGTCCATGTGTGTTTCCCCTCTTCACACTCAGGAGGTCAGATGGACTTCTCTCAGGTCAGCGGCCCCCTCATGACGCCCCCTATCTCTCCAGCAGCGTTAGTACACCGAGGCTCCGTCATCAACCAGGGACCCATGACAGGGAGACCTCTGACCACTACTACTCCTTCTTCTTCCTCCACCTGCTCCTCCTCTTCCTCGTCCTGCTTGTCCACTCTGAGCACCATGACCCAGCCCAGCCCCTGCTCTTCTTACCCGGAGACCCTGTACCACTGCTTACCTCAGACCAGCTCTGGTTACTTCCCTCCCACTGGGGGCTCCACAGCCTCAAACTACCAGCCTGCACTCAGGTCAGCTTCATTTAGGACTGTGCATCTACAACTTTTGATGTACTTCAGGGCTGTCACATTTTGTTTAATATATTATATATTCTATATTATATATATTCTACTGTAAGGTAATAATTAGCTCTTACCCTGATATGATTCTAGTGCCAAATTTTAATTATGAAAACACAGATGTTTCTCTTTTTGTGATTTTTCTTGTTGTCTTTTTTGGTTCATTTTACCATATTGCTATGAAATGGTAAATCATGGAGATTTTAATTTTTAACATAATTTTGGTTAAAAAAAATATATTGCCATTAAATAATGTCTCCACTGGAGGTAATATATTGAAATGTAATTTTTTTTAATTATTATTTTTAAAAGGATTTAAAGGTCCAGTGTGTAGGATACAGGGATATATTGGCAAAAATGGAATATAATATAATAAGTATGTTTTCTTAGCATATAATGACCTGAGAATAAGAATTGTTGTGTTTTTGTCACCTTACAATGAGCCGTTTATATCTACATAGGGAGCTGGTATTCATCTATGGAGATTGCCATGTTGCACTGCCATGTTTCTACAGTAGCCCAGAAGGTACAAATCAAACACTGGCTCCAGATAGGGCCATTCGTGATTTCACATTTTCGCGTTTCCATGCTGGCCACCGTAGTAAGAAGTTCAATTACTATGAGCAGCACCGGCATTACACCGATTTGTAATGTGAAACTGCTTTATTCAGTGTTTCTAGCAGTTAAAAATGATAGGGGGTCTCATTAATAAACATTGCGTATGCACAAAACAAGGCCTGAAAGAGGCGTACAGCACTTCCCATGGAAAAGTTGTGATCTATAAAAGCAGACTTGATGGGAGAAACTTTGACCCATGTTCACAAACATTTTAGAGACAAGAAACTGTCAATGCAGATGGTGAGGTGGAACCCTGATTGTAGAAATTGTTGAATATTTTTTGGCGCACAACAGTTTCGTCCTTTGTCTGTATGTACATTTTTTAGTATGGATTCTATGCACTGTTTTAGAATTGAGACCCCTGGTCCGTTGGTTTTGAAGGGAAGGAGACCTTTGTGGATTATTCAGCGTCAGTGAAAACCTCCTGAATGTCTGGATGTTATGTAATTGGAGAAAAAAGGTGACAACATATTAGCATGTGTTGGACTAGTCGCCCACAGCAACATACCAAACTGTGGCACTGGCAACTGTCAAGTTCCCGTCCATGTTTGAATTTTCAAATATCTGACAGTTAAATAAAATATATTTTGATGTCATTGTTAAGATTTGTTTACTCTGTGTTTCAGGCCTCAAACTCAGAACCAGTGTTTGGCTTCAGTTCAGTCTCAGGCGTCATCGTTGGCCTACCACCTCTCCCGGTACCCCTCCTTCAACGACCAGCACCTGACTAAAGACGTCTTCTACAGCCATCATCACCAGTCGGCCCATCACTCATCTAATAGCACAAACTGCTCCCTGACAACTTACAGCTCTGCGGTCCGTCCCACATCCAACTACAGTTCAGGCTCAGATGCAACTCAGACTGAACAGGGACTGGACGCTCAGACGGCAGCTCAGATTCTGGACTCAGCAGAGGGGTTCAGCTTTGTGGGGGCTGGACTGAACCCAACGGGCGGTGGGTGTCAGGGACAGACGTACTCTGCTGCAGGACATGGCGGTAAGAACTCAGACTGTGGTATTCATTTGGGAAGTAGCCTGTTGCCATTGTCACATCACCTGGTGGGTGATGTGACACAGGGAAATAAACTTTAAGTAATGCACAAGAAGGCCTGAAGATTTCTATTAGATGTAGAGGTGCCACCGTGCTGTGTTAGCTTTAAATAATTCCCTCAATGTAAGTCTCATGTGGCCTCAGGGAAGAGTCAGAATAAGAAGGTACAGAATATTTATTCAATGTGATGTTGTCCTTCAGACTGGAAACATATTTTATAATTTTAAAGAAGCTGAAATTAGAAAATTAAGGGGAATCTGTAAAAGTTACGTAGTATTACTAACTCAGTTTGAATTTAGTGACTTTTGACAAACTCACTTATTACAATTTACTGTGCTTTTTAGCTGCAAATATTTGCATATTGTCAATTTTTGCTGACAAAAACTCAATACATTAGAATTTAGAGTTTATTTATGTGAAGTTATTTTAGCCGCAATCTGAATTTATTTTCAAAAAACATAACACACATCATATCCCGTGACTATTATAGTCTTCGGTAGGCTTTAAAGACAGCAAATTGAAAATCTTTAACTGTGTTTCATGATGAACAAATCACTATTGTTGTTGTTATGTTGCCAAAAGGAAGCAAAATGTCCATTTATCCATACAAAAAATTTTGCAGAATTATTTTAAATTGTGTTTGTGCAATATGTTAAGATGCCACAATCTCACTGCTGACTTATATCAGACTGTACAGTATGTCAGTGGTTCCCAGCCTTGGCTTTTGGTTTGTCTCTGTACTCCTCAAGAATAATAAGTTTTAAAAAAGAAATAATTAAGAGAATTTGATTGCATTTAGAGATGCACAGAGGAACAACAATCCATTCTTTCATTATCAGTGAGTCTTTATCCCATTCAGGGTTGCTGGGGGGCTGGAGCCTATCCCAGCTGACAGTGGGCGACAGGCGGGGTACACTCTGGACAGGTCTTTCATGGGGCTGACAGACAGATAATGATTCACGCTCACATTCACACCTACAGGCATTTTAAAGTCATCAATTAACCTATCTAACCACGTTGACACAGGAGAACCATGCAAACTCCACACAGAAGGGCTCTTGACTGCTGGTTGGTTCGAACCTAGAACCTTCTTGCTGTGATGCCATAGTGCAAACCTTTTCACCACTGTGACACTTGAAAGAATCCAGTCTTTCAATATAGAATATAAAACAAAACAATATAATATTGTCAAAAAGCAAAAGGTGACCTTCCAGATTTTTATTTTTACCCTTTTAGGGTGTCCAATCCCCAGGTAAGGAACCACTATTCTATGTGCACAATCCAAATAGCCCCAAATACTAACATGAACTCAATGCCTAACTTGTGGCAGGTTACTATGGCAACAGTAGTTACCTGGAAAGCCAGCGTATGACATCACTGGTGGACCAGCACGTATCCGTTATCAGCACCGTCGGCAGCCTGCGCCCGTTCCCTTCACCGTACTCTGAAGTCCATGATCCGCTCAACATCCTGGACGAACCTGGAAGGAAAACAACAGGAGCGTATTTCACTGAAGCCGAAACTGGAGCAGGTCAGGTTTAAACTTCTCAACACTTAAATACGAAAGAAATCTATAAGATGGCCAGGGATGTAAATTACATCTTGCATTTCTGTCGTTTCCTCCTCAGATCATTCGTCAGGATCTGCTCCCTGCATGTTTGGAGTTCCCTCTCCGTTCACCTCCCAGGATGCATTGCTGTCTCAGCAGCGTGTGCCGTCTTCTTCTGAGGTGCAGGACCTGGTGTCTTCGCTGCCTCCCATCAATACTGTCTTCATGGGAGCAGGGGGAGTACAATGATGCAGCAGAAAACACAAACGTTTTCAGGAGATCTGTCCTGATGTATGGAGTCCAGTTCCCATCAGATCCAGAATGTACGTATGCGACGAGTACAGCCAGCCACACTCAAACCCAGAGCATCCAACTGTAAGGTACAGTATGAGCATGGAGCCAGGACACTGCTGCATTGAGAGATAAAGAAAAAAGACTTAGAAAGATTTACATGATATTTTTATCCCTGACTGTATTATATACCTAAAGAGGAGAGCAAAGATATTTATTTGTATGAAAATTAGGATCATTATTTTAAAAACATACAATTTATAACCACAGTCACTTTGACACAGATATTTGTCTCATATCCACAGCTGTATTTTTCAATTGATCATTTTTCCAGTTTGGAAATAATCATAAACTTTTGCTCCTAAATGATGCCTAAGGGCTTCCACTTCATCTGTCTGCAAATTGATGTAAATAAATATTTGTTAGTCACAGTGGTGTTGTATTTATTGACACGACAACAAGCAAAAAGCAGCCTAACAGCACACCTCTTCACACCTGCTCTGCACAGACATATGGTACAATACACTCTTTAGTAGTTCAGACAGTAATTTAGAGATCTTGAAGAAGGTGCAAAGGCTGAAACGTCATCATCAGAATAAAAGAGATGCATATGGAGTCAGAGTGTGTGACACAATGGCAATGCTAACATGGTGATGTTTAGCAGGTATAAAGTTTACAATGTTTGCCATCTTAGTTCAGCATGTTAGCATGGTTACATCTGCTAATTAGCACTAAACAGCTGATGCTGAAGGGAATGTTTCAATGTCTGCTGGTATTTGGTCATAAACCAAGACATTTCACAATATTTCACAGGTGGTGGTGTTTGATGGGAAGTCAAAGGGATCACCAAAATTATAACATTTCATCCTAAGGGGAACGTGAATGTCAGCATAAAATCTCAAAGCAATCCATCCAATAGATGGGTACAGGAAGATAGGAGGAATGGTGAGTAGCAGGAGACTTAAGGGAGATGGCAGCCAAGCAGCCAAAAGCAGCTAACAACAAAAGCAGCTGTGTTTTTAGCAACCAATCTGGATATTTTAAGACAAAACATGACTTTTTCCTAACCCCAACCAAGTGATTTTTGTGCTTGGACCTAATCTTGTGTTAACTACAGCATTGTCACAACATAAAATTGATGTAATTGTAAAGAAACATAATGTTTCAACATATCTGCTACATATAAAATGTACAAATTTTTACAAATTTGTGGTTTTCAGAACGTACATTGCCAACATTTACGCTCTCAGTTGGGTTGTTGAGCTAAATGCTAACATGCTTATGATGGCAATGCTAACATACTAATGTTTAGCAGGTATAATGTTTAGAATGTTCACCATCTTAGTTTAGCGTGGTTACATCTGCTGATGGACATCTGATGGAAAGTCAAAAGGAACAGGAAATGTCGGCACAAAATTTCACCGCAAACCTATTCAAGAGATGTCACATCATTTCACTAAAAGGCAAAAATGTCTACCTCATGGTGGCGCTAAAGAGGAGGAGTCAGGGGATCAGCAAAGTCACTTGGATTCATCATGTGGGAACCATGAACGTCTGCTCAAACTTCATGACAATTTCTGTAATACTTGCTAAAATATTTTAATCCAGACTAGCGGCTAGTGTGGCTATACATTAGCTGCTGCAGCTCTACATGACATATTACTATGTCCCTTCTGGTTAGATGTTTGTCCTTTTACTTATTAGCCGTAATAATGGAGAGATACTGAAGAGTACAGAGAACAGTTTGTGCGCTTGCTTTTGTCTGCCTCCGCAGCAGATTGACTTCCAGTCAATAATAGAGACCCCAATAGAGTCCTTATCACCTCCGATTCAAAGACCATGTGTCAGAGCTCCGAACACACGACTCTTTAATGGCTGAACTCCGAGATTACACGACAGCATCACAATTGAAGACTGTAGATCAAAGTTGGGAGGTTTTTATTTGTAATTATTTGCTTTCCCTGCGGCACAATGGAGGGCAGATATGAGTCAGATAAAAGTGTTTACCAAAATGTTACAAGAACCAACAGAGAGGGAGGGAAGGAGGGAGGGCGGGTGGATGAGAGGGAGCTGTTAATATCACACCATGGTGACCTCAGTAAAACATGGAAACATGTCTCCTCTTGAGTTTGTCGGTGCCGGAGCAGATGGGACATCATAAAACCATAAGATCAAAGGAGGCTGGAACACGACAGTCTGTTTTCTCTGACTAAACATACTTCAGTAAAAATCTCAAACCTTACACCAGACTGATCCCAGAACATCTGTAAATTTCACTGTTTCGACTGTTTTATGACACTGAAATGTTTTTGTCCGCTGCACTGATGGAAAAGCATTTACTGTAGGATGGCCAGAGGATCTCATCCAGCCCTTTGGATAACAAAGAGATGATCGTACCTAGGATGTTGTTGTCCACCAATTTCATCAGCCGCCTATAATCTGCTGTAATATTCTAACAGATTTTTCTTGAATAATCAATGTAATAGTCACTTATAATAAGTACCAATATGACAAACCTCCTGAAGTACGTAGGAAAATACAGCTGGCCTCAAGAAACAGAACAGCCACCTCACTAATGGTTAAAACTAGAACCACCATGTTCTGAACAGATGCATTAGAAACATGGTGACTCTGTATAAATATAATATTTGAGTAAGGGACATTTCACACTACACCCATCCTGAAAATCAAACATCTTTACTCCATATAGACATACTGCATATAGACGTTATATATACACACATATATATATGTCTAGTTATCTTGCAATGGTTGATGGTTTCACAGGTCCGGTGTATGTGGTACCTGAACTAAAATGAGTTTGACACCCCCGCTGTAAACTTTATTTTATGGGTCTGCCATTTTCCTGTAAGTTTCCTAGAAAGCACAATGTAACTAAATATGAATTATAGAGAGAGATAGAGAAAATCTCCATTTAAACCCATTTCATTAATTCATTTATTGTTCATTTAAGATTGTAAACTTTATTCTCCATATATGTTGAATAGTATGGATGACTCTCTATTTTCCCTTTATTTTTTTAATCAAATTACATTGATCTTTTCATTAAATTTAGCTTTACCACACATGTTATGTTGTTAATTACTGAGCAGGGTCTAACAGCTATGTGACCTGAAGAAATGCACTTCTGTTTGGATATTCCTCTTGATATCATGACGTGAAAAAAAGAGGTTACTAAATCAAATTAACCCCATGAAACCTGAGAAAATTGGCTTGATTTCTTTTTAAATCATGGGAAGAAGGCAATAAGCACTAAAAGAAGAAATGAATAAATTAAAATTAGCAAGAAATTGGTAAAAAGATAAAATTAAAAACAAGAACATTATTTTTTAAAAAAAAGAAACAAAAGTTAAAATCAACAAATAAGGAAATGACCTGGTAACAGTGCTTAAAAATATAATAAAATCTGTAATGTAATTTAAATTTAAATGTTATAATAATTATAATCATAAATACAGTTTTTCCCTAGTTTTTCCTTTTTTCCCTGTTTTTTCAAAATAATTTCTCAGTGTATCATTATTATTATTATTTCTATTTATTTTTTACCATTATTTTGTTTTGCAATTTGTGGGATGTCTTTCCAAAAAAAATCGCCACTTATAAAAGGCGTGTAAAAGTAGCACAGGAAAAGTGATGTTGCTCCAGGTTTCAAAGTGTTTATAAATATTGTTGTTGCCTTTTGTTAGGACATTTTTGGTTGCATTTATATTGTCCTCCTTATTCTGTTTAGTCCTCTACTTGGAGAGTGGTTTGTCCTTCTCTTGAATGTAAATAATAACTGCTGTAAGTCTTTAGTCCCTGTGAGAGAGGCCATTTTAACATCATGAAACATAAAGTGGTTAAAACGTCCTTTTAAATACAATTCAATAGTTTTATTTTTATAGAATGTTTTTCATTTAATGAAAATACAAAATAAAAGTATTATCCATAATAGTAGGCTAATTTTGAAGTCTTTTGAGAGACATAAAAGTACATTATTGTAGGTTTTCTTGGCTCTGTTAATGAATTTATATTCAGGGAGGAACCTCATACATCAAACTGACAGACCGGAGTTAAATATTTAATAAAAATCCAATAAATAAAAACACACAATGGCAGAGTGTTTTAGATGAATGGCAGTGACGTGGCCATCCTCCGTCCTCCCCCCTCCCCTCTTGATTGGTTTTTATACGTTATCTACTCAGGAGGAAAAATCCATTTCAGGTGCTCATGCAGCGGGGCAGGGACAGATGGTGGCATATGTAATGATTACAGAATCCCCACGTTAAAATACTTTAATTACTAAGTCAATAATGGCACCAACAATTGGCGGACCTTTAGTGTAAAAACAACAGAAGGCGGAAGGCAAACTTTGGGCCAATGTTTAACCAGATTTTTGCATTAGAGCCGATTGAGACAGCCTCCATATGTGTCTCTAACACAGACTGTGGTGCAGGGGAAACCTTCCTGCCTGGTGTTTCTGCTGTCAGAGATTTCAGTCTTTTTTTACAGTTCAAATTTATTCCAATTATTTCCAAGTTTATGGCAGTCACAACCCTCCTATAAAAATATAAATGAAAAGAAGAGAAATCTCTGACTCACAGGTACTGTATGACACTGTTAGTGTTACAATGATCTATTTCTATACTAGACCATCTATCCAATATATATTCCTTTTTTTTTTCTTCCCATTTTATTCATAGACTTTTATTAGCCAGCAAACTGGAAAAGTCAGTTTTGCAAATTAGATACTGGAACTAAATGCTATAACATTTAAACATAGCATTTATAACATTTAGAGTTTACATATTACATTACATTTATTGATATTAACACTTAAGGACA